TTTGTCCAAAAGCGCTAAGTGTTATGGAAAAATAGAGCAGAGTCAGGGGGATCTGGTGGGTGTAACTGTAAATGAATTTTAAATGGGGTGCTCAGAGAAGGCCCCATTGAGAGGGTGGCATTTGAGCAAAGATCTGGAGGAGGTGAGGAGGGAGCTATGGAGGTTTCTGGCGGAAGGACATTCCAAGCAGAGGGAACAGCCTGTGCAAAGGCCCTGGGGCAGGACCAGGCTTTGCAGGTTGGAGGATTAGTGAGGAAGCCTGTGTGGCTGGAATGGAGTGAGCGAGGGGTAGAGAGGGAGAAAGTGAGGGCAATGAGGGGGTAGGGGCAGGTCCTACAGGGTCTTGTGGGCCTCTGGGAAGGTTTGGACTTTTTCTTTTTTTTAAATATATTTTTATTTATCTCAGAGAGGAAGGGAGAGATAGAAACATCAATGATGAGAGAGAATCATTGATTGGCTGCTTCCTGCACACCCCCTAATGGAGATCGAGCCCGCAACCCAGGCATATGACCTTGACCAAAGTTGAACCTGGGACCCTTCAGTCTGCAGGCTGATGCTCTATCCACCGAGCCAAACCGGCCAGGGCAAGGTTTGGGCTTGTATCCTGAGGGAGGGAGTTGGGGTCCCTGGAGGGCTGTGGGCCGAGGGGAGACATGACTAACTTGGGTCCTCTGGCTGCTGCAGGGAGAACACACTGTTAGGGCAGGGGTTGAACACAGATCAATAGAGCCTCCGAAAGGGGAAAGTGGGTGGCTGGGGAGAGGGGAGAGAGGGCAACTTTACCCAGATTCCTCTTTGGTGCCTTTGAATTTTGAACCATGAGAATGTATTCCTTCTTCACAGGACGTAAACTTAAATACACATCTGTTGATTGTGCATTTGTGTGTAGTGCTACATTGATGACTGGGGAGGCTTGTGGGGGGCGGGGAGAGGAGGTCAGTCGCCTCCTCTGTGTCTCACCAGACTGGGCTGAATACATAAATTTGTGAGATTCAGATGCAGCCCACCTTCCTGTCCCCCGTTCTGCCCAAGCCAAGCCACAGCTGCGCATGTGCTGTGACACTGGGTGAAGCTCCTGTGGGCCCAGGGGTGGGAGAACATCTGTAAACTATCTCACCGTCTCAGAAAGACAGACATCGTTCCAAGCAGGGACCCAGTACTGACCTCCAAAACCAAACATCTGTTATTTATTCACATTTCACAGTTTTTAAAGGGGAAAATTTTCAAGAGAATTTCCCTATTTTTCTTTAAGACTGGCCCAGCGGGGACACGGGATGTCCCCAGGAAACACCCAGGCCCACGGTGGCCACCAGGGGGCGCGGGTGCAACAGGGATGATAGCTGAGCCCCCAACTCTGGGAAACTGGCCCTCCTGCCTGGAGTTGCCATGTCCTACATGGCCTCCCCTCAGGCATTTGCTGTGCTCTTTTCCCAGCCCCCGGCTCATTCCTAAGGTCTTAGCTTACTTCCTCCTTCCAGAAGCTTCTCAATTCCCCCCGCTGACCGAGGGTCTCTTTTGGGCTCCAGCAGCCGTCTACATTTCCCTATCACAGTCTCTGCCTCTGGCTCTGGGCCATACACACTGAACGGACAGAACAGCATTGTCCCGGGTCACCTGCAGGGCGACCACTCAGCCATCACTGGGGCCACAGGGCCTGCACAATAGGACCCCAATAAATGTTGGTTGGCTAAGCGGATAGATGAATCGACATTCTCCTCACTCACTGGAGGTAACGGGTCTGTGTACCCATCGTCCCCCACAGGCTCACACTCAGCAGGTGCTCAGTAACTGTCAAAATTACCACCCATTTACCACGTACCATGCCCTGTGCTGGCTTCTGAAAACACCACAGTGACCAAGACAGATCTGTCCCCAGCCCTCTCAGGGTGGGCACGGTGCGGTGGAGAAACCATGAATT